AGCATTTGGTACAACTTAATATGTACTGCAAGACTTGAATTATCCTGTTCTCTTTCAAATTCTGTCTCTGGAATGTATCATACCTATTATAGAAGAAGTAGGTATGGCCCTCATAGGTTTGAAATCTTTTTCTTTTAACTAGGTCTTGGATTATTACTTTTAATATGCATGTTTCAACAAGTAAGAAAGCTATGAAAGCATGAACAGAATATTGAAAAACGTTTCAGGGTGATCACTTCACAACCGTTTCATGTGATACTTATTAGGAAACTAGGAAAAGAAGAAGCCATGCATTTCAAAGGTGGGGTATCAGAGTCTTCACAAAGCTCATTTGTGACTCATAAATATATAAGGAAAACACTTTGCACTGGGGAACATTTCCTTCCCATTGCTGACTGTAATGGATTTTTTAGGGGGTGGGGGTTGATGCAATGGCTTAAGGCTTAAGTTGTTAGGTCAGGTTGAGGAGAGCCTCATATCTTCAAGATGAGAGATCACCCAGATGTAATTTGTCATTAAACTGACTTCTGCTGACTCAGATTTGGAGTTTGCTGGCTAGAGTGTCATTGGAACAGAGAAAATCTTTGGTTCTGGTAGACAGACACGTATTTGTACTCTATATTCAAGTTTACAATCTAGAGACATTCCTGGTTTGCTCACAGTTCTGTCTGTTTTTTTCTTTCTCTCTCTCTCCATTTTTTTCTTTTTTGAAATTATTTTAGATTTACAGAAAGGTTGCAAAAACAGTACATGTTGTTCCCATATACATTTTGCATATCTTCTCCTATATTCCATAGCCGTAGTACAATTATCAGAACCAGGAAATTATTTTTTGGCAAGAATATCACAGAATAATGTCATACACCTGTCAGCATATCATATCAGGCGTGCATGTTATCAATCTGACTTGTTACTGGTGATGCTACCTTTGGTTTCATGATTAAGGTGGTATCTGCCAGGTTTCTCCACTGTAAATTTATTATTTTTGTCCTTGTAAATAACAAATATCTTATTGCGGAGATACTTTGAGACTAAACAGATGTCCTGTTTCTCATCATACTTTCATCTACTAATTTCAGTATCCTCTTCTTACTTACAGTCGTTACCTCTTGGTTGTTTGCCTGATGGTGATTTTCTATTTCCATCACTTCTTCTGTGTTTATTAATTGTAATTTTACTGTAAGGAGGAGCTGGCCCTTGCCCTCTATTTGTTTATTTATTCAATCATTTATTTGTATCAGTATGAATTCACAGATATTTATTATTTTGTTCTATGGATTATAATCCATTATTATAATTATTCATTTTTGTTGCTCAAATTGTCCAGATTTGGCCATTGAGAGCTTCTTTTATTTGGCTCCTGAGTCCTTCAACATACCCCCATAATTTTATGAGCACTTCTTTACCTTCTAAAACCACAAGATATTCTAGGCTAATCTTTTATTTTCTTTGCCCCAACCCTTCAAATAACTATTTCTTCAAGGAGCCCTGATTTCCTTTATTGGATAATGATATTTAGAAACCAAGATCTCTGCTAAGTGTGCTCACTGCTAAAGAGGTGTCTTTGCTTATAGGCTATTTCAGTGGATGGAGTTAGGAAAGATATATATGTATACTCACACATGGAAATACACATTTATTTCTATATATACCTCTGTGTGTGTATTAAAATGCATGAAGAAATACTGACACCTCAAATTTCAATTAAATATCATGGGCATTTCTTAAGAAAGTTCTCATAACCATTTACAAATAACATTGGAGATAAACTTTCTTTTTGGCTTGGAAAAATCTAATATTAAGATGTTCCTCATCTTTAATATTTTGGTCTCCACACTCTTGGCAAGAAACTCTTTAAATCCCCCACCCCAGTTTCCAGTTGACAAATTCTTCTCTGTCTAATGTTCATCTCCTGGAGATATTGTAAGAAATGGATTTCTTAAGACAAAGCCATTCCATAATGATTTCACAGGGCTATCTAGCACGTCCTGATAGGTACTCACACCTCTCTAATTCTCAGACAGAATAAGAATGCCCTGTGTCAGGAAGCAGTCCAGGTTTCCCCACATTTTAGTGATCGAGGTCTCTCCATCTTTGATCATAAGTATGGAAAAACAGACAAAACTTATGTGCTTCTGGGATTCAAACCAGGGCATACTGGCTGGGTAATTTTTTAATCCTCCCAGTAGAGTGTGTAAATGTGTTTGAATATCTCTGCTTCTTAGGACTCTGAATATGAAGGGATGCGAACCTCCCTAACAATCACAATTTCTTAGTGACTTTCAAATATCTGAGCTGGAAAGTATGAAAGAGGACAGGGCATATAAAAGCTCTATCCATAGACCGTGGTGACTATGTGTGAAATCATCATTGTGTAGGAGACAGGGACCTCCAGGACATCTTATAACCCACGAGTCAACTGATTTTTAGCTGGATCCTGTCTGTGTCTCAAAGATCTGGTTCTTCTCTTTGGGCAAAGCTCAAGAAGCATTACAGTTGTGTTTCCAAAGACATGTATTAGTGGTCATTTCTAAGTTTGCTAGCCTCAGCAAGATGGACCATACCCGAAGCCATAACGTAAACCTCAATACGTTCAAAAGGAGTGAAGTCTGATAAAGTATAATATTTGACCACAAAGAAATCAAACTAGGAAACAATAATAGAAGGATATCTGGAAAAATCCCAAAATGTCTGAAAATTAAGCAACACAATTTTTACTTTTGCTCCCAGGGATGATGGATTCCCTCACTGAAAATAACTGCAAAATAATGAGCATAATATAAAAGCAACTCCCTGAAGGCACTGTAGAGTCAACATAAGCAGACAGATTATGGTGGCAAATGCACTCTCTCAGGACGGGAGTAGGGAAACTATATAAAATATGCTCCCAATTTTTTGGAAGCTTGGCTAGGTGCCAAATGTAGGGTGTCAGAAGAAGCTTTTGAAGAGTGGAGGAGGTGGAATGATATGGTGGCAAATGCACTCTCTCAGGACGGGAGTAGGGAAACTATATAAAATATGCTCCCAATTTTTTGGAAGCTCGGCTAGGTGCCAAATGTAGGGTGTCAGAAGAAGCTTTTGAAGAGTGGAGGAGGTGGAATGATCAGAGTTAATAGTATAAAGTGGATTTTATCGTTGACAGACATTATATAACTGTTGGGTTCCAGGCACTGTGCTTGGTAGGCAATGGTTTAAAAGGGGAAAGGGAGTTTTAAAGGGTTTCAGGAGTAGGACCTTATAATTCAGAAGTGAATTGACTGGAGCTAAGACTGAAGGTTTCAATATTGGAGAGAAGTAAATGATAATTTTTAGCAATGAGATGGAAAAAGGAAGGGGAAATTTTTGAGGTGTGGAATTCAGAAAAGGGGCAGTAAGGGTAATGCAAATTTCTAGATTTGAGAAGGTGGTAGTATGAGTTTCTAATATAAAGTGGTGGGAGGCTACTGAGCAGAGCTATTATTTAATCAATAAGTAAAACAGAATTAAAACTTTTCCAGTAAGCTTTCCTTGATTAATACCTGAATATTGTAGAGTGTGGAATTCATTGTCCACTCATCCCCTAAACACTTATCAACACACTTTATATTATTTTATTTGTTTGGTATCACATTGCTTTGTAAATTCATGTCATTTTTAGCTTGTGATTGTTTATTCTGCACCCACATCACATGGATCTATTACTGTGTCTTCTAGCACATACAAAGCCTCACACCTTGCTGTGAGCACAGTAGTTGAATGAACACTTGTGATGTGAGTGTTGAATGAAGATTGGAACCATTCATTAGTTCATACCATTAAACAACAACAGTGAGGCCAAAGCTGATTCATAGTTAAAAATCTGGTTTTCTTATTCAGTAATGCAGAGTTTTACCAGAAAGCTGATTAAATACTGATCTTCGAAATGTCACCAAAATAAAATTCTTGACAGATACAACACGACTAGGTATGTCATTAAAATACATTTTTAACAAAATAAAAGCCTAGATTCAGAACATTGGTTGAAAACATAAGAAGCCTTATGGGGGCAGTAAATTTGGAGCTACTCTCATTTTAAGTTTGCCATCAGTGTTTCTTTGTCGGAGCCCAGAAGACACAGCACATTAAGCTGGTGGTGCAAATTAGCAATGTAGTTTTTTACAAAGACTTATGAGCACCATGGATGAAGATTTGTTGAAACTAAACTTTTTAGTTCTCTGTTTCTTTACTTGGTGAAAATTTTATGTTGAAATATATCGTCTAAATAGCTCTGTTTGAACTTATTTTTATCATGTAGTCAGAGATGCTAAACTGTTGGAATGGGATTCATGCCCCTTGCCACAAAGTGTGTAGCAACTGCATTTTTAATAACTTGCTGTAGACAACGGGGGTTTTGTCTTAGGCCTCAAAGGTTTTATAGTAGGCATTCTTTAGAACAATGTCCATTCCTGCTGTTTAGGGAATCCCTGCCCAAAGCAGGGCTTGCCGTTGGCTAATTGCTGCTGAGGTCACCTCTTAGTTTGAGTGAACATGGTTTGTTCTTCAGAGCAAGGTGGAAAATTGACTTATTTCTATGGCTTGCTCAAGTCTATTTTGAAAAACGAAGTTGGACTATGAGAAGTCTTGTCTTAGTCTGAAAACCTTGTCTGTTTCTATTTGCGTCTTGCTTACATGGGAACTCCTAGGGATGCTTGGAGCATCTTACCTGCTGAATTGGACTGAGGGCCAGGAGGTCATTGCTTCATCATTTAAAGTTCTCTGGGATCTCGAAGGTGTGAGATAGTCCTTCTGGGGCTCTAGTTCTCTTTCAACTATAGTAGTTGAAATCATATGATGTGACCCCTAGGGCCCTTTCGGAAGTGTTCCGAGTATAAATACTAAGGTGACACCCTTCAACAAGCGCATTTCAGACACCGGCCATGAAACCATTCTCTGTACCTTCCCCCTCTGCCTGTCAGCCTATGGCCTCATGGTGTTCTTTGCCTCTGATGGTTGTTTCTCTCCTTCCTCCCTCCCCTCTGCAGACATGCCTTGAATTGGAACGCTACCTACAGACTGAACCCAGGAGGATCTCGGAGACCTTTGGTGAGGACTTGGACTGTTTCCTCCATGCTTCTCCTCCCCCGTGCATTGAGGAAAGCTTCCGGCGCTTAGACCCCCTGCTGCTCCCTGTAGAAGCCGCCATCTGTGAGAAGAGCTCAGCAGTGGACATTCTGCTCTCTCGGGACAAGTTGCTATCTGAGACCTGTCTCAGCCTCCAGCCAACCAGCTCTTCTCTAGACAGCTACACAGCCGTCAACCAGGCCCAGCTCAACGCAGTGACCTCATTAACGCCCCCATCGTCCCCTGAGCTCAGCCGCCATCTGGTCAAAACCTCTCAAACTCTGTCAGCCGTGGATGGCACGGTGACGTTGAAACTGGTGGCCAAGAAGGCTGCCCTCAGCTCAGTGAAGGTGGGCGGGGTGGCAACAGCGGCGGCAGCTGTGGCGGTAGCTGGGGCAGTTAAGAGTGGACAGAGCGACAGCGAACAAGGAGGGGTGGGGGCTGAAGCATGCCCCGAAAACAAGAAGAGGGTGCACCGCTGTCAATTTAACGGGTGCCGGAAAGTTTACACAAAAAGCTCCCACTTAAAGGCCCACCAGAGGACTCACACAGGTAGTGGTACAAGTCGGCCGCACGTGGTTTCTTTTCTTTCCCTCCTTTAGCCTTGCAGTGGGAAGGGCTTCTCTTTGTTCTGAGAAGCAGCATCGTGCTAATGAGGAGGTGACAGCAAGGCAGGAGGGCCCGGGTGGGGAATCAGAATGACTCACTTGTTACCTTAAGATCTCAAGATGTCCTGGGCATGGGACATGGGTTTGTCACTTGCTGGCTGTGAGCTGCTTTCAGAGGTGATGCCAACAGCAGCGTAGAATCAAACAGTTCTGAGGGGGACTGAAGGGGGCTGTGGTAGTGTGACTCCCAGGTGTACGTGATACACGCACTTGTCACTTTCCTGACACTTCTTTGTTTTATGAGCGTAGCTCTGCAGTTTTGATCAACGCTGGAATCTGAGGAGGTGCATTTGAAAGCGTTCATGGTTAAACACGGCAGCTAGGGTGTTCCCATTCACTCTTTTCCCAGCATCCCTGATTTTTCATCAAAGTCACCAACAGCAGGAGGGTTTCAGAGTTCATTAGATGTGATCATTCTATAATTAATTGGCATCTCCTCTTTTGCATTGTTCTCTGGCGCGTGCTTTATGGAGAGATGGCAGAATTGCTTTTTAATGAGCTTGTTACTGAGAAGTTGCTAAAGTGATTACATTGCTATGTGTGTGGTAAGGGCGGGTTGGGGAGGGACAGGGACTGTATATTTTACTCAGGACTTCTGTGGCGATTCCAAGGAATTGTACTGATCTTTTGAGCAATGGGCTAATTTGAAAGAGTGGGATTTATAGAGAAAAGAATGAGATTGGCATTTTTCTTGAAACCGGTCTTTGTTCTCTGCTTTGAGGTTGGAGTTTAGGGGTGGTATCTTTCCTGGTCTACTGGGGTGCTAGTAGCAATTACTGTGTTTGGTGGTTTTTAAGTGAGTCTCTAGCTGTGTACTACCTGTATGGTTTTTACACACTGCTTACACGCTGCAAGTGGCATAGGGGAAATCCCCAAATGTACAAGTGGCAGAATAAGAGCATTCTCGGAGAGAAATGGGTGATAGCATATGGACTAGGAGAAGTGCCTGATGCTTTGTGGAGGTTTGTGGACTGTGCCACCAAGGAGGTGTGCAGTGGCGAGCTCACTGGCTGGAAAATCAGAATAACCTGGGTACTGGTTCTAACTCTTCCGCTAACTAGCTCATGACCTTGAGCATGTCCCTTTACCTCATTGGGCCTCATTTCCACATTCGTCGTCAAACAATCCGGCTCTTAAGGCCCCTCTCTGCTCTCATGTTCTGGAGGTCCATGAAATGTCTTTGTGCAGTACAGAAGAGCTTTCCCAAGTAGGAATGCATAAGACGTGACTAGAAGAAACCGCTGTTGTGAACTGTAACTCTCCCGGGAGAGTGAGCATGGACATTGCCTTCTCACACATAGGACTGAGGCAGGTGCTCCTCTCATCCAGCACTTAGTTTCCCATGTGGCTCTTGCTTGGTCCTGACATAGCCTCCAAACATAATTTTTAAATCCTGTGGCTCAGGTGTAGAGTCCCACTTATGGTTTCCCATGAGAATTCAGGTTCGAGTTCTCCACTCCACATATACCAAGGCTAATGCTTCCTGCTGTCGTCAAGTTTTTCCTCTCCAATATTGTCCTGAAGGTAGTTTTTATTTATACTTCTTTTTTTCTAAGTTCAATGAATAAAGTAATGGCAAGACATGGCAGTGCTGCCAGGCTTTATTGCATGTCTCATCTCCTGTCCCCTGCCAGGAATCCAGAAAAAGCAGGATGAGGCAAGAATGTTGAGCTTTGTTGGGGTTGTGGAATTCATGATTATGGACACCTTTCTGAATTGTTGGCACTAAGACAGACTGTATATGCCTAGTATGGAGGCTGGACAGCTCTGGAGAAGGAGAGATTATTCGGGGGGAGTCCAGAGCATTGTCATTTTTCTTTCTATCCCCTTTTTCTAAAAGAGATGTGAGAAGGGTAACTTATGATTGATGCACTATTTGGTTCTTTGTTTTTTGAGCCTTGTCTAGCCAGAGTGATTACCACGGTGGAGCTCATTATGTTACCCAGCACCTGCAACTGCTTGCCTTGTGGTGGACTGAACTGGAAAGACTCCTCTCCATGCGGAATTTACTCAAGGAGACACCATGCACTGTTGGAAAGACAGTATTGCAGTATTCTTAGTTCAGAGCAGGGCTTTGTGGTCAGGTGGACTTGGGTTTATGTGTTGGATCTATCACTTTCTAAATTTATGACCTGGATAAGTTATTTATCTTCACTGAGCCTCAGTTTCTTCATCTGTAAAATAGGGATGATTACATCTACCTCCTAGATTGTTCTGCAGATTAAATAAGCAAATATATGTGTGATACTTGGCAGATAGCAAGGACTCATTAAATATAATAGTGGGGTAGATTGTAGTTATTACTATTGTGTTGATATTGACTAATGATGATTGAATAAAAAAACAGCTTTACATGAACTAGAAATAAGCCAGTTGGTGGTAATGCAAAGCATGGTTTCCTCAGATAGCACAGCAAACAGTTGCCTTGCACCCTCCAGAAGCACTTTGCCTATAAAACCTTCTGCAGAGACAAGCATGGGGAAAGAAAAAGTAGATGCTATAAGCAAGAGAAACAGACAAGAGGGGAGGTAGCGGGCTAGGGATAGAGGACGGGGAGAGGGAATATGAGTTAATTTGGATTAAATGGATGAGAATCAGAAGTATTTATTTGGAATTGGTGTGAATGGGGCACATGGGGAACTGAAAACAAAGGTGATAATTTATGTGGCGTGGATGAACTAAGAATAATGAAAAAAGCATGAAGGATGGAATCAAATTAAGTGCAAACATATAAAGGAAATGGACTGGTAAAAGCTTGAGGGCAAAGGTATATGGCAGTGGGAATTCGAGTTGGAAAAAGCCTGAGCCTGCTGATACAAGGAGTGGAGTGGGAGAGCTGCTGACCACATGTGGAAATGAAGTTTCAAAAAATGGGCTCTGGTTGGATTCAGGCAAGCTATTTTAACACAGGACCCACTTTAGTTCAGTGGAAATATTACTTATCTTTCACTTGGGGAAGTGTTTTGGGACAGAAGAAAAAAAAGAGATAAGAAAACCAGAGAAAGAGGGGAAATATTGGCATTTTGCTCTCTAGAGTTTGCTGATATATACATATATATATATATATATATATATATATACATACATACATATATATATATATATGTATGTATGTATGTGTATATATATATATATATATATATATATATATATGTATGTATGTATAAATACCTATATATATCTTCTATATGGCAATGTGTTGCTAAGAAGATACAGTTGCAAAATGAAATAAAACAAAATGTTTGGGTTTCCATCTTCTATGCACGAAGAAAGACAATACATTATTGGTAACCTGGGTTTGCTTGCATGGACGAATTTTTAAAGTATTTTTCATTTAATCTTTATATGGATAGAATTTACTGAGCTGGAAAAGTATGCATTTTTTTTTTTCTTCTTTCCTTCTGTGGCTGTATTTTGAGGATGCTGAATCTTTCAAACTTTTTGCTCTGGAGGATGTTAGGCAATGAGGAAAAAAAAATTTTTAAGGTAGCGGATGTTTGACTTGGTAGCTAGGGCACCAGTACTGGTTGCCCAAGGAGGTTCTTCTTTCCTTCTGTGTCTGTATTTTGAGGATGCTGAATCTTTCAAACTTTTTGCTCTGGAGGATGTTAGGCAATGAGGAAAAAAAATTTTTTAAGGTAGCGGATGTTTGACTTGGTAGCTAGGGCACCAGTACTGGTTGCCCAAGGAGGGGAAGTTAGGGATGGGGAAACCAGGCGGGAGGTAGAAGAAGATGAAGCAGGGAATTGAACAAAGGGAATATTGTGAAGTAGCAGGATCTTAGTGAAAGGAAGCATATAAAAATGGACATTTGGTTTATTCATTGGGAAGAGCACTTAGTGCTGGCATGAGCGTAAAAATGTCCTTTAGCAGCCAGGCCATTACAGACCTTTCTCTCCCACTCTGTTTTCTGGTCTTTGTATAACATATTTTCCTTTCTCAATAATTCAACCATTTTGATCATAGCTTCGTTCCTCTTCTTGGAGTCCGCTAAATAATCCTTTTGTTTTGATGCAAAGGGAACTTTCACTTCCAATGTTAAAAAATATATATCTTTATTATGCTCATTTTCAGCAAAAAATCAATTTGGTAACATATTAGTAGTTTCTGTGCAAAAACAGAAAGAATTATTTTCACATTTCTCCTTGATTGCTTCTGAGAAGAAAGAAAAACCTGTAATTGAAATGGCACTTTGTGCTAAGTGAGCAGACTTTTCTAATTTGGAAATTCATATAAAAGCATCTCCACATTTATGTTATTAAGAGTGTCATGTTGGTAAAGTCAGGACAAAGACCAGCAATTACATCTCTGGTTCTTGGTCACAGTAGAGGGAGATAGGAAGAAGCCATGTTCTGTCATGTGTCACTTGGAGGGCTTTCTGTGGACTAGAGTTGCTGTAGCCTAATAGATGGGTGGTGATAAGGATATTCTAGATTTTTCACTAAAGGATGCAATGGGATGCATTTCAGGTGGAAAGGTAATACAAGTGTGCTATTTGCTTAACATTTTACAGCTGCTTTAGGGCAGGTCTTATTGACTCAAGAGGTGACACAATCTCTAAGTTTAAGCAGGATTTAGGGAAATAGGTTGTTTTCAAATGAAAAGATGACTAAAATTATTACAGACAAAAAAGATGAGTGAGGGTTTAAGAGGCAAACAGGAGTGTTTATGTCATACACATAAAGAAAAGTCTTTAAAGTTTGAAATGTAATTTATTTTACTTACTCTACAAATACCTATAAAGCACTTGCTATATACCAGGCATTGTTCTAAGTCTTTTACAAATATTAACCCTTTTAATCCTCATATTAACCCAATGACATAGGCACTACCTTATTTTCCTCATCTATAAAAGGATATAAGACCCAGAGAAGTCAAGGAATT